TATAGCATCTAGCCAGTTGTAATTCATTAAATTAGTGCTTCATGATTATAACCCTCTGATCAAGATCAATGTGCCTATTGCTAAATTATTAAAGATTCATATTGTCTCTTCTACAGTCTCTGCAGCATTTAATCTCCAAAGCTGAAATGCTTTAACATCCATTGCCACTTGGATTTACCACTTACTAGGCTTTTATTTATTGTCATAAATTACATGTAGCATCAGATTGCCCATTCATGACCTTCAGTACATTAACAGTGTTGTGCAGCCATCACTATGATCTCATTCTGGAATGTTTTCATCACCCAAAAGCAAAAAAAACCTCTTGTGTCCATTAAGCACTGACTTCTGATTCCACCCCCATCCTCAGCCTCCACCCCGCCTTTTGTTTATCCATTCCTCAGTAAACACTTAGGTCGTTTCTACTTTTTTTTTTTTCTTGGCTACTATGGATAATGCTGCTCTGAACATTTCTGTATAAATTTTTGTGTGGATGTATGTTTTTATTTCTCGTGGCTGTTGTAAAGGGGCTGCCACATGTTTTCTTCCTACCAGTAGCACTGCTCCTGCCTTCCCTATCACCATGTCAGGACCCGATTCATCAGGAAAGTAGAATGCCCACTGACCTCCCCACCCCGCATATATCCATGGACACAGCTTGTAATTACTCAGGCCAGTCTGCAGAAGAGTAAAACAGCAAATAGCCAGGCACTAGGTGCCAGGCAGAGTTACTGCTTTATATGTGTTTATGCAGCCTTTGAACCAGTATAACGTGTGAACTTGACTTCTACATTTTCCCCGTCACTAGAAAAAATGTTTCTTGGACACTTCCTTACCAAACCTTTGTATATTCCCAAGTGAAACTGCTTCCTTTCACCTGCAACGTGGAAAAGGTATTAAACAATAGCAACCATTAATTTTTAGAGAAGTAATTCATTGAAAGAAAATATGTAGAGAATGATACAAATACATGATTCTTCCCAAACAGCTTTGGGAATTTTCTTGAAGTCAACAGCTGCAGTCTTGAATTTCACAAATTAACAGCATGGTAACATTTCAGTTGTCTTATGTTTATGATGATAGGTGAGATTTTGGTAGCATGGGGTGAAGAGGACAAGACAGAAGAGTTGAGTGCGTGTGATGCACACTCTGTGTGCATAAGGAGAATGAGATTTGGCCTGTGGTTGTTCCAGGTGGCAGATGTGAAAGTTCCATCACCCCTGTGAACCGAGAAATGTTGACTCAGGATGGCCACGTTCCCCATCCTCAGTCCAACCAAGAATGTGTCTTGGTTAACTGACCTGCCCTCCATGGAATCACACCTTTGTTTTAAGATTGTCACCTGTCTGTAGACACCAAAGAAGACAGTCCGTGCACAGCAATTAGGACAATCTAATACTTGATGATTCATTTCATTTCTATAATTAAATCCTGTCTTTAAAGGAATTAGCTTGGGAGTGCAAAGGCAATTTTCCAAATATAATTCGACTACTCGATAGTACTTGCTCAAGAAAGATATTCTGGGGATTTAGAAACAGAGGTGCTCTCTGGGCATCGGGGACAGGCTGTGAGAGAGGGCCCTGGAGACCTGACGTCGTCATCCTCCTTCCACTTACAGGAACACCACAGACACGTGAGCTGCCGCTCCCCAAGGGGCTCCTATAACCCACTTGAAAAACCACAGATCAAAACTAAAGGAAAGTCCTCCAGTAGTTCCCCCTACTTACCATCAATTGCACATAAAAGCCTTTTTGAGGGGTGCGGTACATGGCATACAAGTGTCATCATGGGAGTTCAGAGCATGAGTCACTGACTTAATACATAATAAACTGTATTCCTTTTTAACTCATGTAATAGACAGGACCAAGCTATAGGTCTTACTTAAAGGTGGCCACAAAGTTCACCGTGGGCCAACCCAAGACAAAAGACTTAGGTGCATTGATGGCTTCTCCTGCTTTGTTTGTGCAGTCGCCAGTCCACATGTTGTTCAGTGGGATTTCGTATTTGATCTTAAAGTTCCGTTTGTACCTGCGAAGGTAACCAGATAAGACTTCTGTTAGTTTGTTTCTTAAACGTAATGGAGCCACTGTGTTCATGCTGAAATGCTTGCCTCGCTGCTCTAGGCAAAGCATGGCTCCTTTATCTCTTTGACCCTCTGTGCACAGCACAGGGAATGGTTAGATAGGCCTTTGCCAAGTGTGTGTTGAACAGAGGCTGGTCCAGGAAGGCCCTGAAAATACTTCGATGGTAGCAAATAGGCATTTTCTGAATGATGGGAATTGAGAATGGACCATGGTTTATATTGTAGAGATCAGAGAACCGTTAAGTCATTTATTGTTATATTTGTTATTATATATGTAATTTTTATAATTGTTATAATTAACTTTTCATTCATTCATGTCTTTCTTCAAAAAGTGTTGGGGGGACTGAACTGACTGTTTCTGCCTATTCCCTTTTGACTTCTGACATCAAATGACCATATCTGTTGGTTAATTCACACATGTAATGCTCACGTAGGCCTAGGGTGTAATCATAGCTCCACGTCCTGTGAGGGATGCCCAGAGAACTTGGGCCTGGCGCTCTGGAAAGCCCTGCTATTCAGAACCACATATAGAAATACTCAAGGTTAAATGAGCTCAGAGACCCTCATGTGCAGGAATTTCTATGACTCCTCCGATACACGGAACAGTTAAGCTACAGCTCTTCAGTGGGGTTTGTGGAATGAAAATAATTTCTCAGGAAGCCCACCTGAAAGGTCTAGATACAAAGCTCAGGGCGCCATGAGTGTAAATATGATGGAAACTCACCTTCTGATACAAGATGTTCTTTTGCTACTTTCTGTTTCATCAGTTTTACTCTATGTCTGCGTG